CCGCTCTTTCCCCCCCGCTCTTTCCCCCCTCTCTCTCTCTTGCCCCGCTCTTTCCTCCCTCTCGCCCCGCTCTTTCACCCCTCTCTCCCCACTGTGTCTGACTTGTTACTAGTTATCGGATGTGTGCCAGCTTGTTTCTCTTTGTAGACAAGCTAGCAGGCATTCCCAGTGACATCATTCACCATATGTGGGCTTGCCCATATATGATCAATGATGCTATACAGCATCTCTCAGCCAGCTAATGCTTACAATCTGCTGCTGACTGGGAGATTTCAACCTGCAATCTTAGTATTTTTGACACTTCACTGATGCACTGGGAGAAGGCCGGCAACAGAGGAAGGAGACGGAAAGACAGGGAGGAGAAACACAGCAGCACGTGCCTGGAAGGAGAGCACAGAGGATGGGGATGGAGGTAGAGAGAGAGCGCTGTGGGGACAGAACTGCTGCACATGCCCATGTATTCGTGAATGTGCAGCAGCTCTCAATAAGGTGCCGTCTGTCAAACTGACGAGAGATCAGTGGGGAAGATCCCCACAGCCAGAACAGTATTGTTGGGATATCTCCTCATTGTGGCGCTTAGCCCCGCCCATCATCTTTAAAAAGAAATTAAAGGCTTAGGGTGCATTTTGGCCTATTGGAGTAAATTACACAATTTACTCCTTTTGCCTAAGAAATACAGTAATGGAGATTATATAGGATCCCATAGTTCTCCTCTAAAGACACATTAATGCTCTAATGTTCTGTAATAATTAATACATCATCCAAAGTCTTTTTTTTTTTTTTAAGTGCAAGCAGTGTAAGTACCCAAGTTTGACCTGGTGTCAGCCTGTTGCAGTCCCTGTCCTGCAGAGCTGGATTGTGAGGGAAAGAAGCAGTACAAGGAGGCAATCAGTTAATGTGCTGGCATGCTGATAAGGAGAGAACATAATGACAGAGATGAGCTCAGAACTGCGCTACTTCTCCTTTCTCTGTCCAGTCACCAGCTGGGGTGGGACCAGAGGAAGGATATTGATGTCTAAGGACATCTAGTGGCAGAAAAAAGTACCGCGGAATGAAAACTGAACCGAAGGTGAATACTGCAGGAAAAAATCTAGTCTTGTTATTTTATCTTCTAAAGTGTAACTCATTTTTTATTTTGCATACACACACACATGCTCCCTCACTCACACAAAGGTTGAACTCTATGGACCTGTGTCTTTATTCAACCTCAAATACTATGTAACTATGTAACTATGTAACTATGTAGTTCTGCTTTACAAATGATTTATGTGATGAAACAAGATGTATGCATTGTTACAATAAGCAAAATTGGGCTTAATGTTTTGTCAAGATTCAAACATGAACTGGAAATTTGGGAAATAAAAGATTGACCCTGGTTGCTCTGAGGTAATAAAGGTATTTTAGATATTTTGAAAGATAAGGCCCACTGTAACAGAAGCGGCATCATTTTTAATTACTATGATTTGCATGAGCTACCCCTTCATGCAGTTCATAGGAATAAATCATGCATCACAGCACTGGAAGGCAGTAGTTGGTGAAAGTTCTGGCAGTTAGCCACATGTGTGAAAAACTCAGCACATGTATTATCAGCAGGTTTTTATGCATAGTTTTTTACTTTTTAACTTTTGTTTTTAAACAATTGGAAAAATTTAAAGGGCACCATGTATCGGATGTGTGAACCAAGTACAGTCTGTTCCTCAAAGTAGCCAATCAGATTCTTTAATCTATTCTTAAAAAAGAAAAAAAATGAACCACGGAAAGCATATTCTACGTTTGGCAAAAATACATTATGAATGTACCCATACTGCAAAAAAAAATAAAAATGTGCATTTATTAATGTTTGTGCATTGGAGCCTGCAAAGCATTGCATATGTTATCAGTGGGTCACAGGTGAAATGCTCAGGCACCTGCAGGCTTTTTCTCCCCAGGTCCATACTGAGGTACACATCTTCAGTTATGGGGCTGGAGGAAGTATTCAATAGACTAAAAGTGTGGTAACATCAGTACAGTCCCTGCGCCAAGGCGGATGATGGAACTTGTAGTCTTTTCATTTACAGATCCTGTCAAGGGATCTGTCAGTGAATGACATGGTGGGGCAGGCAAAGCCATGGACAGCCATGCTGAATTCAAATTCTTCAAGGGTGCTCCAAGAGAGTGGGCCAGCTGAGGGTGCGAGGCTGCGAAATAGCACTTGTTCCAGGTTACACCCTACATATGGGTGCAACATGGTACGAAGGGTGGAATTGGCTTTTAAGATACTCATGTAATAGGAATTAGTGCGTGTGTATATATACATATATACATCTTTATATTAAATGTTGTTGTACTCGGTAAGTGTGAAAATAATCTCCAATCTATTGGACTTTAAGGCAGTAGAAATAATTGGGGCCCTTCTGCTGCAATTCAGATGTGCCTTTTTATTACTGGATGTGGAAATGAAGTATTGGCAACTGGTGATTTTCAATTCTTGTTAGCCAAGCTAAAGCTCTCATGCAAATAACTGCACTTCTTGCAGGCCATTAACTCAGGAAGAAATTGCACTCAGAAGAGAGATTGCAAGACAGAGGCATGCTGAAAGGATGGCAATCAATCAGGAACAGGCTCCCTCCAGCAGTGAATGCCAAGCGACTGCAGACAGTGAGAACACTAAAGGCAAGTGGCTGTGCTTACTATGTCATGCACTTCTCTTTTTCCCTCCAGGATTCTTAAGCTAGTTTGTTGTAATTTTCTGATCACTAAATGTTCCCACCGTACAGGCAGCAATTACATATCATTAGCATCCACACAACTTGCTAACAGTTGCTGACACCAGTCTCCAGACAACATAATTACAAGCAAATTAGCTGTTTAGGTGGTGTGAGGTGTATGTGGTTAGCGATCAGTTAATTTACTGTCTGCTCTTACAAATTCAGTGACTTTAGTGCCGTGCTCAAAACAGTCACAAAGTGTGTAGCAAAAAATGACCATGCTGTTAAAGACCTTTAAAGCACAAGTTGACTCTTCAGTTTTTGGGTTTTGTTTTTTTTTGTTGCTTGCTTACAGTGTATTTTCTTCCTTTTCTCGGATACATTTAATAATTGCATTCCCTATTTCACATTTTTTAGCTTCCTGTACTCTTCTAGTCCTACCTGCTTTTTCAGGTATTGCTAGCTGTCATTGATGGTTGGCTCACACATAGAGCCCCTTTGTACACATAAGAACATTGGTGTCACTCTAAACTCAGTGTAACTGCTATTCAAGCACTGAGCTGCACAATACATGTCACAGCAACCCCATGAGAGAAGAAGTGCATGTATGAAAGCATTTTTATGTTAATCCAACCCAGGTGACAACTGAAGCAAAGAAATCTGAGCGTTCCAGAGTTTGTAATCCAGCCTCTTGTTGCCTATACTATTTATTAAGCAGACAGGCCGGTATGCATTTTATATGCATCTTCTCACATGCTCCCTATTAGACCAAAACAAAAACAAAACGAAGAAGTATGACTTTGGGGTAACTATGCAAACAAGAGTAGCAGCACATTATGGCCACATAGTGGACCTCAGGAGCAAAGGATTTTCCTATGCCCTGCAAAACTTGTTTGCTTAGCTATTTGCGTCTATAAAGAGAAGAAAAATAATAATGGCTAAAAACGGAGGTAAACGGAGAAGAAGAAAGAGACTTTGGGGTAACTATGCAAACAAGAGTAGCAGCACATTATGGCCACGAGGTGGACACCATGAGCAATGGATTATCCTCCCCGGCTCCACCTAGCGGACATGATGCCAATACGACAAGATTTGCATCCTGGGCAGATAACACACAGCTTTTTTGTGGACTGAGTGTGGTCAGCTGGGCCCAATGTCTTTTGCTAAACTAATTAACCACTCCTACGCTTAGATCTCTACAACATAAACACTAATCATTTTGTAGTCCACACAGGAATAGCACAGGACGTCTACACAGGACAGCTCTGAATTTCTGACAAAATCAACAGTTTGTTTTTTTGCACTTTTCATAACAAACTTTTGATGATTTACCAGACCAAAGTGAACTAATAAGAGAAGTTCATTGTTAGGGTTTACATACGCTTTAAAGTGAACCTGACCTGGCCTAAAAAGTGCCTAAGGCAACAGCTGGGCTTGTGCCTTGTAATGCCTGTTAATGTTTGTGTGTTAGTCTTTAAATCGATCTTTGTGTCTCTGTGGAACTCCTTGGATCATACGGCAAGGGTGTATCCTCGGCCTCGACTTGTCTTTAAGATGAATTCCACCCTTCATGCTGCTTGTCATTTAGCTGTCAAATGCTAGTCTCATTGAGCAATAGAGGCACTGGTGTTTAACAGTTAAATGGCAGTGAAAAGGGCTTGATTCTGACTTGGATAGAAGTCAAGGTCATGTTTACAGCCTGGACCTAGGATCCAAAGTGCTCAATAGGGAAACATGGATCGATTTACCTTGAGCATTTTTAATTAAGATAAAAGTGAGGGATGGCATAATTTTAACTGATTCGCAAAAGGTTAGAATTAGTCAACGCAACAAAAGTATTATTTTAGTGATATCCGTTAGGCCATGGCTGCACAGTCTCCTTTCCTGTTGTTGTGAATGGAGTGGCCTGCTGTTTGCATGCAAAATTAGGTGATTGCAGAACGGTTTAATACACAACCACCATGTCCATTATAAGGGTGGCCACACACCTTACGATAATCGTATGATAATCGCAGGAAATCCCGCGATCGTACGATTATCGTAAGGTGTGTGGAAGCCGTGCGACCTCTACTACTGTAAGGTCGCACGACTTTTAACTTACGAACATGTTTGAAAACCCCATGAGCAGCGTGCGATGTTCGGCGGGTGTGTAGCATGTTCGTAAGATAAAAGCCGGACGGCTGGTGTGCGCAAATGCACACTGCCCGTTCAGCATTGCGGTCATCGGAAGCCCGCACCTCGGTGGCGCGGCTTGTGATTATCGCAAGTACGATCTGTCAGGTGTTTGCACTTCACTTGCCTGTAAGAATTGTGTGTCAAAATAGGTATTCTACTGCAGCCTTTCCTAACCCGTCCGTTGGATCACTTTTCGATGCCCTGATTCCAGAATGAAATCTCTGTCCTGTGCTGTATGATCAGGAAAACTGGGTTCTTGTTTCAATTGTAAAATTGAATTGTAAAATCCATCACAAGACCTTCCCCTCTGTTTTTGTGATCCACTGTCCTGCTTTCTGCAAAACTGAAGCAGGCTGGGAGTGGCAGGGGGGGTTATACAGGACTGTCCTTACAGCTCTAATTTGCCAGTGTCAAATTTCCTGAAGGTGGCTGCATAACCCATTTCGTCCAGAAATAACTCCCTGTATCCTCTGATGTACTCCAAGAAACTGATTGTACAGGTAAGGCAAAAATCCTGTTTTTTTTTTCTCGCATAGTTTTCTTTTTCTAAGCAGAGTGCCTGTTTTTTTTTTGTTGCCCACCCCTTGCCCACCCCTTTAGTGGTTACTGCTTTGGGGCATCCAGTGGTGATAAGTTGTTCCCGTGTCCCTTAGTGGACTGTACAGTAAATTGTTTTTTTTGTACTTTATGTAATACATTTTTCTTAGAGTCCATTGAAAGATGCAGCTCCCCCTCCCTCATGTTACTCTTTTATTTTGTACAGCTTGCTAAAACTAAGACATGACTAGAGTGAAAGGGGTTATATACCCTCGGGCTGGCAATATACCCTATAGCCTTTCTTTATAGTAGTGTTCATTTTGCTGTAGGTGGTGCTATAGCCCATAGTGATTTGCTGTTCCTTTGTCTTTTAATGGATTCTGAGGAAGGATTTATATGGTAAAAAAATAAATAAAAAAATCCAGTTTTTAAAATGAACAAAAATGTCAGACCTCCTGAGTTATTGCTTGTGTGATTTGATTGTGTGCATCTAGCTTACACCCTTGCTGTGGATTAAGAAAGGTGAAAAAACAAATGATCTTTTATTTGAATATGTTACAGGTGATGCACTTGTGAAGGAAGAGGAGAATTTAGTTCAAAAGCCAGAAAAGAAAGATGTTGAGAATAAAAGTTATTTTATTGCTTTTGCTCGAGTATTCAGTGGTGTAGTACGCAAAGGACAAAGGATATTTGTTTTGGGACCAAAATATGATCCAACACAAGCACTGCCTAAGGTAATTAGTTTTTCTTTTAATTTTATATTTCTACAAATATAAAAGTCGGCACTGGAAATTGTCTTGTCTTACCTTAACCACTGAAAATCTAGCTCTAATAAAATGCTGATTTTTTTCCCCATATGTTTCATTAGTTAGATCCTCTTAAAAAGACCCTATCGCAGAAAAAAAGATATCAAAGTACGCAATTGTAAATTTAAAGTTCTAATACTTGCCAGTACTGTTTCAGCGGACTTTCAGTCTTTTGAAGAGCAACAGCCGCTAGGATCTTTAGCTTTCACAACTTCCAGTAGAGTTGGATTTCTTCTTTCCCTGCTGAATACTGGGATTTCACCCACCGGCCACAATGTCACTGGTGTGTCTCATTAGAGCTCAGGCCAGGTTCACACCATTTTCTGGACCAGATCTGGAACACGTTGCATTGCGATTTGCTGCATTTTTACTGCGATTTTGCCACATTCCAGAGCTTTTTTTTTATAGCTTAAAATGGGCTTTCAGGTGCAGTCCAGTGTGTTCCAGTTCGTTTGCATGCATTTGTAATGCATTTCCATGCGTTACAGTGCATTCCAAACCAGAGAAAATGAGATGAGCAGTATTTTTTAAGCACAACTGACTGCATTTTAACTGTGAGTTTGCCACATTCTGGAGCCTTTTTTTAAGCTTAAAATGGGCGGTCCAGTGTGTTCCAGTGCGTTTGAATACATTTTTGATGCGTTTCTGTGCATTTCAGACCAGAGAAAATGAGACAAGCAGTATTTTTTAAGCGCAACTGACTGCACTGATATGAGCAGAGCCCAGAAATACCATAGGGATACATTGGAATGCTTTTTTTGGCCCGGGAGCAAACTGTTCTAGTCTTGACATGATTCGGACATGGTGTGAACAAGCCCTCAATTTGTTTTCTAAACATATAGACAAAAACACCTTTTTCTTGATACCTGAACTTTAAAGTAAACCTGTCACAAACCTGATACATTTAGACTAAGCATATGGTTAAAAAAATGTGGAGGCTACCTTTCAATTCTGTAGAATGTAAAACAGATCCAGAAGTAGAGGCAGTGGAAATTATTAGCAAATCATGGCTTTTACTATAAAAGTTCTGCTTTGCTCTTGCCCGCTCTTGTCTCCCTTTTGGTCAGCCAGGCCACCCATCATATTAAAGGACCTTAAAAAATTGCTCCAGTGATGGGACTACTAGTTTGTATTGAGATTGTAGTGCATCACAGGAGCAAGCTTAGTGCTGAAAGAAAAGAAAAAAAAAAAGTGTGGTGTGCAATATAGTGAAATGGAAAATTTTAAATTATACAGCAATGAATGCAGAATGGCATCGGCTATAGAGGACTGCAAAACACAGCAATAGTACATTATACAGCACAATGCAGAATACCACCGGCTATAGAGGAACTCAACAAATCCCAGCAATAGTACATTATTACTGCATTGCGGTATTCTGCATTGCGCTATACTATTGCTGGGTTTTGTAGTCCTCTATAGCTGGTGGTATTCTGTATTGTGCTTTATAATGTACTATTTCTGATTTTTGTAGTCCTCTATAGCTAGTGGTATTCAGCATTGCACTACTGTATAATGTATTATTGCAGGGATTTGTTGTACTCCTCTATAGCTGGCGGTATTCCGCTTTGCGCAGTATAATGTATTATTGCTGGGATTTGTAGTCCTCTATACAGCGCAATGCAGAATACCACCAGCTATATAGGAATCCAACAAATCCCAGCAATTCATTATACACAGTGTATAATGTATTGCTGGGATTTGTATTCTTCTATAGCTGATGGTATATCCCCCACACCTGCTCCTCCTTACTTCTTCTCTCTGCTTCCCTGTGCTGATCGTGGATGTGGGTGGGCGGTGAGCGTGAGGTGGGGAGGAGGTGCGGCATGTGGATGTGGGAGGGCCGGTCTGGCAGCGGCGAGCGTGAGGTGGGGAGGAGGTGCGGCGAGTGTGTGTGGAGCCGTGAACAGGGTCAACTAATCGGAAGCCGATTAATCGATGATTGAAAAAGTTGATAACTTTTTGATTAATCAATTATAATCGATTTAGTTGTTGCAGCCCTAGAGTTAACGTTTAAGCCAAGACTGGGCCAACAGACCTTTTAGTACCCTGACAGTATGTTTGTCTTGCCCATTGATTTACCGCAGTGTGCGTGACAGGAACCTGTAATGTAACAGTAACCTAAGATATGCCAGGAGAGTTTAGATTACACGGTTGATGCAGTGGAGTTGTTTCAGCCATTCCAAAAAGCAGCAGAAACCAGCACTGACCAAGGGAAGTTGTAAGTATATTGTAAGTTTTGAAATAACAGTCACACAGTTAATACATATACACACATGAGGCCATTTGATTGATTTTATGACACTCACATTATAGTTTGTAGGCAGATTTAGCTCGCTCTGAATATGGTAAATTGTTCATTAAATTATGTGTTAAATAAAAATAAAACAATTGATAGCTTTGTAGAGTTTTGTTATATCCTTATTGTTGTGTCTGTTCAGGATTGGTCCAACCAATTACAAATGGTCTGTTTTACAATACCCCCTGTAACTAGCTTGTGGCTTATGTTCTCACAATAGTTTTTCAGTACTCATTGTACAGTTTGATGTATGGCTGTATTTTCCCTCTAGTGGCTACAAGTCTTATGTGAATTCTATGAATGTAAAACTGTATTGTTAAGCAGAACCTTTACATATATTTGTTGCTTAATTCTTATAGTAAAGCCCAAGGGACCTGACCCCAGTAGTATTCATTGTACTTTACTATACAAAAATGCTGCATGCACAGACTACTTGGTTACAGGAAAAGTAACTAAAAACAAACATACAGGCTGCTACAAACATACATACACATGCACCCACTACAATTTTCTACTACACGCAATGGTTTCTATAAGAGGATACACTAAAGGTGCTTAGCTTCAGCCTACAAATTCCGATCGAACAGGACTCTGTGGCGATTAACCGTTCACAGGAAAATGGCTTCTCGTTGCAGTCTCTCTCAAAGTGTGGTCTTTAGTCGTCCTTTGTTCCAGTGACATCCTGTTTGGTCAAAGTTTCTTTATGAAGTCCCTGTTCCAGTGACTTACTCTTTGGTCAGAGTCCTCTTATGAAGTCCTCGCTATTCACTTTGGGCTGCTGGTTTTTATCCCGAAAAGGTGGTAGTCCACCTGTGGGCGTTGCCCTTAACATTTGTATTAAGTCCTATGCCAGGTGTATTTCACTTTTTCCCACTCTAGATGACGGCACAGCACCATAAATGCTATAAACAGTCAGTCAGGTCTGGCTGGCTAATCTTAACCAGCCTAGGCATGCTGTTTACACAAAGTTTCCCCATAACAATATCCCATTGTGAGTAAGCTAGATAAGAATAATGGAGAAACAATGGCAGCTGCAGCATTGTCCGAAAACCAGTTTGGTCTGTTTGCACTTGCTTAGCTTAATAATATCTGAGCGGACCGATTGTCTTCACGATATTCTAATTATTCGAGTTTCACCTGTATATATTAGGGATGTACTGATACAATTTTTTCCAGACCAAGTAAGTTCTAATACTTGTCCTCATAGATACCAATTACTGATACCTTTTTGTTGTCATGTGACAGTGCAACCCTGCTAGTTTTCGTGAAAATTGCCAAATATTGGCACTGTTACTGAACTGATATATGTGCATCCCTAATACATATATATAATGCAATACAGAAACATGCATGCTAAAATTTTATTTTGGATACACTTCAAATTAACTTAGCACATCTCCCCATTGTTGCAACAATCTTGAGCATCCAAGCTTGCCAAGAATTTCTTTCTAGGCTAGTTACTTCTTCCCTTGCATCAAGTGAAAAAATATTAGAGGTTTATTAAAATTATAGATATATTAAGTCAGACAATCTTAGACTAAACTGTAGGCAGCCCAGGATGTCTGCATGCTTGCTCTGTTATCCTGTAGAGTGGCTGGGCAACCTAAAACCTCAGCCTCTCTGTAATGCGTTTACCAACCAGCCTCCATGGTCACTACACACCCTCCCTATCTTATATGTATAGCTGATGGTTGGTGGGGGTAAATATTACAGTGATGGGCCAGTGGTTCACATGAGTCTAAAGGAGTTGGACCAGAACGGGAGCCACAGAGAATCAGCGCTGGTTTTGGCATGATTGGGTGCAGGGTACTGGGCTGGCATGAAAATACATGGTCTAACTTTTAGGGTTACAAATAGCAGTTTTAGTTGACCAACTTTAGCAAAATATGTGGAAGCCACACTGCCTTGCCAAGGCCCCTCTGTGTACAGTAGTGGGGTCTTAAATCTAATCTATGAGAGTCCCCATCTTGGAGCATATATAGCAAATAAAGTAGTTAGGATTACACTACACATTAGATGTGAGGATGCCGAAGGAAGTGGAAGAGAGGTGAGTGTGGGACTGAGGGATCAGGTGTGTGTGTTTATTTAAGCCCTTTAGACAAAGGAAGCATTTAACCCTTACAGTGTGGGGGTGGCTCCTCTGTAAGGCTATGTTTTTTTTTTTAATTCCCAGAGTTCTACTTTAATATAAGTAGGGATACCATTGAACTGAAAGATGGTAGGGTTGCTTACACCAACAAAGATATTGGTCTTCTTCTACCAAGCTAGGAATCAGGTTGGTTAAAATTAAGATATACCAGCTGCCGTACAGATTTACCTACTGTGATTGCAATGACAGTTGGAGACCTTCAGCTGGTAGAATTCCCTTTCATTTCAAATATATTTTCAGGTAATCTTTTAATTGATTACAGTATTTTCAGGTTGCCCATAAACTGTCATTGCTATTGATGTCCAGATCTGTCACATCTAGAGAAATTGAGTGGTGCATCTCCAGCCAAATAAAAGCTGAGATCTGATAACATCTATAATGATATCTTTTTAAATCTCTGGTATTTCTAATGGAAGATTGCTGAAGGGGAAGTTGGATAGACTTTTAGGCTTCAGATCTGTGTCACATCTAACAGATCTACACCACTTCAAATATTGTTGTTTCTTATGATCAGATGTGCTGTGGTGACAAATTGGTGAGTGGGAGATGCTAATCCTAAATTACGCCAAACATACATATGTTCTCATAATAGCACAAAGAGCTCATACATATTTCTCTCACTGATTAATGTAACGTCAGGCAGACTTTCATCTTGCTGTTAAAAGTATCACAGACACAGCATTTCGTTGGTGGCTGTAACCACTTACATATGTGGCAGAGTAAAGGTCGTGGTTCAGCATGTGACAAGGAGGAGGCAGTAGGAAGTGGACAGACTACTTAGCTGAATTTTCAATAGACAGGCATTTATTTTGCAGCTTGTAATTGATACAGATTTGTAACTGCTGATTTGCCATATGGTAAACAGAAGGAGCAAATGGCATGCCTACTGTGTTTTAGAAAATGTATCTTTATACAAATGTTCATGTTACTTATGATGCATGGTGCTAAAAAGAAGCCTGTTGCATAGCTCTATCGTATGACCTTAGCTCTTCTATATGGCTTGGTTTGCCTTTACAGTACTGCCTGTTACATATTTGTTGTGTATATTTTGTTTTGTTTTTCGGTGAGATGTTACTGTTTCTATCCACCTTTTTATTCTTCATTTTGCTAAGACTTTTTCTCCTCTACTTTGACATTTTGCTGGTTTCAAAGGGTGATATGTGCCCACGCAAAACCCCCACATGTACAGAATAGTGGTTGAATGACAGGGAATGTTTGGCACCAATGTATCTTTAATGTCTGGGGGCTTGCCTACTACCATGCCCATGTTAAATGTCTGTGTCATCCAATCTAATGAAATGTTTATCTTTTTGTTACTTTAACCATACCTGGTCATGTCAATAGAGCTTGTATTTGCTTGTTTGGAACATACAGTAGATATTTCCATAGGTCATTTAATTATTTAGGAAATATTTTATTAGGCCTTATTGCAGTATTTCCTGATGAATTGATCAATCGAACAATAGAAACTATAGCATGGGAATCTACCAGCACCATACAGTCATTTATTGATTGCCCAAATCTAACCTTAGGCAGGGTTTTCGAATAATAATAACACCAAACATGTTACAGGGAAGGAGGAACTACTCTCTGGATTGTTGTATCTTTTTTTTTTTCTTTCTTTCTAGATTTTCCATTTTTTTTCACATATAAGTCATGATGAACAATAATTCAAAATTACCTTTTCTCTAGGTAGAAGGATAGCAACTTGCTAAGCGGGGCCAGTGCTTTTGGGGTGCGTGCAGCTTCTGGAAGCACCCTGGGTATTGCAACACACATTGGAACAAGATAAATAATTATAGGGCCCTCATTTATGGCTAACTCTAGAATGAGCTGTAAAGGCATTTAAAGCATCACCCATTGATAGTATTAGGTACCTTAAATTTCCACTATTTCGCTGGTGCATGCAGTTTTGAGATATTTGGTATCTATTTACTTGACACAACCTCATCTTTTATTTTGTACAAACAATGGGGATTATATTGATTTCTGTGCATTAAAATTCATTTGAGATTTTACTAAAAATATTATTATACAGCATTTACATAGCACCAACAGTTTGCAGCAGCACTTAAACAAAATATGGGGAGACTGTACAATACAATAATAAAATTCAATACGGAATCCCCCCCCCCCCCCAAATACAAGGCTAAAATGTCTGCATGCCCACAACCCTATAACTCTGGGGGTGCCGCCTCATGTGCAGAGCTGTTATCTTAAGGGGTGGTATGCTATATATATTCTTTTAACTGTGTAAAGAGAAAAAGCCTTAGGATTAGGCTAAAATTCAAGTTGGCAGTGTCATAGCTCAATATTAATGGATTGCTTTGCTTATTCAAATATATTTTATATATGGATGTGAATGAATTCTGGTTTTAAGGCTGGAACAGATCCATGCACACGTGCTAGAGTTAGTTGGACAGCCCGTCTGCTTGGCATTCTTTGAAAAGAATCGCCAATTTTTTAACGCCACTTAGCTGCCAGGCACTTTGTTCCCAAGCCCTGTGTGAGCAAGCAGATGGTGTCCAATGTGTAATGGACACCATCTGTTGTAAGGTTGCATAATATGTTTTAACAGAAGGTTATATGCTGGAGCTGAGTAGTTCCATTACTTACTGTGATTTCAGTAGTGGCAGGATCTTTACATTGCCAGGGCTTTTCTCTGCACTGCACTCAGCAGATAGGTTTGGGAGGTTAAAAATGAAACTGGCATTGTGCAAAGGGTCTGTTATAGTAATTGTATCTATTAGTGGAAGCCAGCAGGAGACTGGCTGAATGTAAAATTCAGTTGCAACTGCTTTTTCCCTCTATTAAGATTAAGAGAGCATTTAAATATTTGTTTTCTTATGCAGATACAGTAGTGTGTGTGTGTGTGTGATTTATTTTCTCCGCTTGCAAGATGCTTGAATTAGTAAAGTCTGTTGTGAATTGCATGTCCTATATAATGTTATGTTATTATCGCTTCTTTATACATTAAAATATTCTAGATTTATTATTGATCCTTTTTTTTTTTTATCCTTCCTGTCAATTTTTTTTTTTTTTTTTTTTTTTTGCTCACCAACTAATATGTTTGGACTCTTTTGTAAGCAATCATTGTTAGTCATGGACCTATTTGATGGGCAAACATTAAATGGATTCTGTCACTAAAGTAGAATTTAAAAATCTAGAAATACCTGTTAAAGAGCAGTGTGCATACTCACCTGTTCTGCTGCCGAATGCTGCTGTGATGCTGAGTAAACTGTAGTAGAAACTGACACTTCTGGCAGTGTTCCCTGCAGCACTTACTGGCTCCGCTTGCTGGAATGTTTGGAGGTCAGCAGGAGGAACCAGCATTTGCTGCAGGTGACCCGGAGAGGGACACTCCCAGACATATTGACTCCTTGTGGAATATGTCTTGGGATCAGAGCTGCATTAGACAGCTCAGGCAGGAGTTCATAAGTTTTATTGTTGATCTCTTCTGATGTCT